CTTTATCTCCTATCTATCTATCTCTCTATTTATTTATCTCTCTATCTCTTTATCTATCTAGCTAGTTATTTGTCTATCTATCTACAAATCTATCTATCTCTGTCTCTCTATCTCTTTCTATTTATTTCTCTAGCTATCTCTATATCTGTTTATTGATCTATCTATCTACCCATCTTGCTCTGCGCTTAAAAGTTGCGATGTTCAATCCCCGAAAGTTGACTTCGCGTACTACTTTCGTACTTAAAAGTTGCGATTTTCGAGCCCCAGCTGCGAAAGTGGACTTCACGTACTACTTTCGTAGTTAAAAGTTGCGATTTTCGAGCCCCAGCTACGAAAGTGGACTTCGCGTACTACTTTCGTACTAAAAAGTCGCGATTTTCGAGCCCCAGCTGCGAAAGTGGACTTCACGTACTACTTTCGTAGTTAAAAGTTGCGATTTTCGAGCCCCAGCTACGAAAGTGGACTTCGCGTACTACTTTCGTACTAAAAAGTCGCGATTTTCGAGCCCCAGCTGCGAAAGTGGACTTTGCGCACTACTTTCGTACTTAAAAGTTGCGATTTTCGAGCCCCGGCTGCGAAAGTTGACCTTGCAAAATTGCTGCGCCTGCCACCAAATCTGTGCTTGACCTTGCTAAAGTGCTGCGCCTGCCACAAAATCTGTACTTGACCTTGCGAAAGTGCTGCGCGTGCCACGAATTTTGCACTTGACCTTGCGAAAGTGCTGCACCTGCCACCAATTCTGTACTTGACCTTGCGAAAGTGATGCGCCTGCCACGAATTTTGTACTTGACCTTGCGAAAGTGCTGCGCCTGCCACGAATTTGGCACTTGACCTTGCGAAAGTGCTGCGCCTGCCACAAAATCGATACTTGACCTTGCGAAAGTGCTGCGCCTGCCACGAAATCGATACTTGACCTTGCGAAAGTGCTGCGCCTGCCACGCAATTCAAACCTTGCGAAACCTTCGCGCGGCCGTGCCAATGGGCCCGTCTCCGAGACCGTTCCGAGACCGCCTCCGTACAGGCGTCGCAGCCGAGGTGGTTTGCGCATTGTCCGGAAGCCCAATTCACGCACAGCGCCAACGTTTTCTGCATCTTGCCATCCCCCAGCTCGCAGAGAGTGCTAGCGAAAGTGCTGCGCCTGCCACGAAATCGATACTTGACCTTGCGAAAGTGCTGCGCCTGCCACGAAATCTATACTTGACCTTGCGAAAGTGCTGCGCCTGTCACGCAATTCAAACCTTGCGAAACCTTCGCGCGGCCGTGCCAATGGGCCCGTCTCCGCACCCGTTCCGAGACCGTTCCGAGACCGCCTCCGTACAGGCGTCGCAGCCGAGGTTGTTTGCGCATTGTCCGGAGGCAGGCGAGGCTGCCCACGCACAAGCGGCCAACGTGGCTCCCAGCTTGCCGACTGTGAGGAGCCCAGGTTGGCCTCTTGCGTTAAGTGCTGCGCCTGCCACGAAACTCCGATTACTTGATCCTTGCGAAATGATAAGAAGTGCTGCGCCTCTGCACCGAAATCTATACTTGACCTTGCGTAAGGTTGCATGCGCCTTTGCCACGCAATTCAAAACCTGTGCGATACCTATCGCGCGGACTCGGGAAGCGAGAATGGGCCCCCCGTCTTCCCGAAAAACCCGTTTTCCGAACCCCGTTTTCCGAGACCGTTTTTCGAGGACCGTTCCGAGACCGCCCTCCGTACAGGCGTCGCAGCCGAGGTGGTTTGCTTGCGCACAGGTCCGGAAGCCCCAAATTCACAGCACAGCGCCAACGTTTTTTCTTGCCATCTTGCCATTCCCCAAGCTCGCAGAGAGTGCTTTGGCGAAAGTTGCTAGCGCCTGCACGAAAAAATCGGATTACTTGACCTTGCGAAAGTGCTGCGCCTGCCACGAAATCTATACTTGACCTTGCGAAAGTGCTGAGCCTGCCACGAAATCTATACTTGACCTTGCGAAAGTGCTGCGCCTGCCACGCAATTCAAACCTTGCGAAACCTTCGCGCGGCCGTGCCAATGGGCCCGTCTCCGAACCCGTTCCGAACCCGTTCCGAGACCGTTCCGAGACCGTTCCGAGACCGCCTCCGTACAGGCGTCGCAGGCGAGGTGGTTTGCGCACCAGGCGGAAGAACAATTCACAGCACAGCCGCTACGGTTTTTTTCTGCATCTTGCCATCCCCCAGCAGCATTACTTGACCTTGCGTAAAGTGCTGCGCCTGCCACGCAATTCTAAAACCTTGCGAAACCTCATTTCGCGCGCCGTGCCAATGGGCCGTCTCCGAACCCCTTTGCCGAACCCGTGTTCCGAACCGTTCCGGGACCGCGTTCCGAGACCGCCTCGTACAGGCGTCGCAGCTCCGGAGTGGTTTGCGGGGGAGCACACCCAAAAAGCCCCATATTTCACGCACAGCGCCAACGTTTTCTGCATCTTGCCATTCCCCAGCTCGCAGAGAGTGCTTGCGAAAGTGCTGCGCCTGCCACGAAATCGATACTTGACCTTGCGAAAGTGCTGCGCCTGCCACGAAATCTATACTTGACCTTGCGGAAGTGCTGCGCCTGCCACGAAATCTATACTTGACCTTGCGAAAGTGCTGCGCCTGCCACGCAATTCAAACCTTGCGAAACCTTCGCGCGGCCGTGCCAATGGGCCCGTCTCCGAACCCGTTCCGAGACCGTTCCGAGACCGTTCCGAGACCGCCGCCGTACATGCGTCGCAGCCGAGGTGGTTTGCGCACAGTCCGGAAGCCCAATTCACGCACAGCGCCAACGTTTTCTGCATCTTGCCATCCCCCAGCTCGCAGAGAGTGCTTGCGAATGTGCTGCGCCTGCCACGAAATCTATACTTGAGAAAGCTATCTACGTGTTAAGCTGGCTATATGTCAAAGCTATCTATCTGTCATGCAAGCCTATTGGAATGCTATCTATCTGTCAAGCTAGCTATATGTCAAAGCTATCTATCTGTCATGCAAGCCTATTGGAAAGCTATCTATCTGTCAAGCTAGCTATATGTCAAAGCTATCTATCTGTCATGCAAGCCTATTGGAAAGCTATCTATCTGTCAAGCTAGCTATATGTCAAAGCTGTCTATTTGTCACGCAAGCCTATTGGAAAGCTATCTATCTGTCAAGCTAGCTATATGTCAAAGCTATCTATCTGTCATGCAAGCCTATTGGAAAGCTATCTATCTGTCAAGCTAGCTATATGTCAAAGCTATCTATCTGTCACGCAAGCCTATTGGAAAGCTATCTATCTGTCAAGCTAGCTATATGTCAAAGCTATCTATTTGTCATGCTAGCTACCTGTCATAGCTATATGTCAAAGCAGCTAGCTCATTTTGTTCCAGTACTACGGAAGTTTCTTGTTAAACTTCCTTTGATCATACTCTGTCTGCCCGAGGTGTTTCCCCCGCCTCCGCATGCCCACCTCTGAATGCCCAACTAGACACAGCACCGGATGTGAGCAATTCCCTCATGACGTGGCAGGATCCACAAATGCTTGCTCAAATCGCGATATAAATTACAAATGTATCATTCCGCAAATGGCGGGTACAGTACCGGAAGCCCAGGCCCTTGATGCCAGTAGAGGAAGTCTTGACGGAATTCTGCATATGCACAGTTCTCATTCCTCGAGTTTGCCCTTGGACTATGAATGCACATAAATTTGTAGTTTGTTTGTAGTTTGTTTGGGACATTTTTTCATGTCATGAGACTTGTTCCCCCCAATGTTCGGTGTTTCACCAGGTCAGATGAGCCCTATCCAAACCCTCTAGAGGTGTTTCAAATGACCTCCAGCTTGATGGTTTATGAGGTCAGCTAGGGCAGCAGCGGATTACATGTCTTAGTCACGATCAACTACTCATTTTAGCCTCAAAACCTGAAGACGTCACAATTTCCCTGCAGGCTCCAACGGGTGTCATGTAAAGTAGGCACTGCATAACGCAGCAATCTTGCTCTAAGGGCAGCATGGGCGGCATGGACCTCAAAGCGGTTTCGCCTTGTTGGAGTGTTTCTATTTGCTAGGCCCAAGAGTGTCACCCTGGACTGGCTCAGCAACAAGGTGAAGAAGTGAGCGGCAAAGCAGAGCGGCCGCACCGCGCTTTTTTGCATGTTGTTTGGCACAAAGAGGTGTGTTTCCATATTCGTTTGCTTGTAACGCGTTTGCCAGAGCCGGGTGCGCTGTTAATTGGAAGCACTTTTCATGCGGAGTGGGGCGAAACGATGTTGTGGCTAAATAGCGATTTCTTGCCTTTTCCAGGGGCGACCAAGTGGTAAAATCAATATTTCAATAATTGTGGATTCCGGCTTTTGTGCGGCTTTTCGCTTGACCGTCGTATGGAACCGAAGGGTACGGTGTCAGATGCATTTGTGTGCAGTGCATAAACTTCGAAAAAGGCACGATTCAACTGGTGGCCTTGGCATAGCTGGACGCATGTGATAAAGCGCAATGGGCTTTGGGAGGTGGGGGCTTTTTGGCTTGTCTCAGTGTACTGGGCTGCCCGGCCCACCCAGCCCCGGCCCGCTCCGGTGTTTTCCAAGCTTGATTTGGCCCAGCGAATGCCAGTTCCCATGCTGGGAGGATCCAAAGACCTTCTTTGCAGCTTCCCTGCCATCATTGATTTTTGGGCTGCCGGATGCAGCGGATGCACGCACTTGCGAGAGGATGAAGGGAGCGACGGAAGGTCTCTTCACCGAGGCAGTGGCCTCCAGATTTAAGCATTACAGCACACTTAAGATCCCCGGCGGAAAATGTGGAGAGCGTTTTCCGACAGGCACCCGTTTCCAGATCCGATGGGAACTTGACGGGGATCTTTGCGCAGTAGATTCATCGCTTGCAGGATTTACAGGAAAAACGCTTTGTGTGCGTCTGCCATGCCCAGAGGCGACCAGCTGTCGAGTCTTTTCTAGCCTCCTTTGATACCCGCCCTGCTCGTCTGTTTTAGGTGCCAATCGGCTTCTTCTGCAAGCAGCTCAGGTTTGCCTTTCTCAGCTTTGAGCAAGTTGCCGCTGTGTGGCCAAGTTGGCTCTGCTGGTGTCAGCTTGCCAGACACGGGATGGCGGGGGACCTGAGCCGAAGCGAGGCACGGCCTGACTCCATGCAGTGTCGGGAGTCATCCCTCAGAGTTTGGGTATGAAACAACGTAAGCCTGAGCGAGGGCGAGCAAACATTGGCTGCCTCGCCGCGCCTTCTTGGCGTTTGCCAGGCCCGCAGCATGCCGGAGGCCGTGCCAGTGTCGATTTTGACAAATGAGACGCCCAAAATCCAAGCAGGTGGACCACTGGCTTGACGCCAGGACCGCCCAATGCCGCGCGTGCCCGCAGGGCCTGGGGCCTGAGAAGCTTGGAACAAGGTCACGTGGCCCGTGCGGTCAGCACGAGAGAGACAGGAGACAGAGAGACACACAGAGTCCTTCAGAGGTGCAACAGCCAAATGACAAAGAACAGTCTCTCTGTCTCTGTGTCTCTCTGCCTCCCTCTCCATCCCCCCCCTCCCCCTCGCTGTCTCTTTGCCACTTTGTTGATCAAGCCTTTTCCAATCAGCGCGAGAGGGACAGGGGACTCCTGCATTGCTTACGCCCATATTTTTTGAGTGTGGCTCATGTGGAAGGGGCATCGGCCTGCCTTTGTTTTCGTCACACGTATTTGTCGCTTGCCTCAACACGAGGCCGCGGCCAAGTGCCCGACGACCGGCAGAGGGGCCTAGCCGGAATCAGCTCGCCAAACGGATCCAACAAGCATTGGCAAGTAGAGCTGGGACAGCCGAGCTGATATTATGTCTTTTGGCGCGCCATGAACTTGTTGGTTTCTCTCTGAACAGCTGAGTTCACATTCAAAGCTGCAACTGCAATTCCAAAACATGACAGAAGTAGCGCTCTTAGCGGCAATATGTTTTTCAATTCCTTTGAACTCGCTGAGGAGCAACACCATGTCTCACTAAGGCTGTGCGGGCAAGACAGCACGATGTGCCTCAGGCGAGCCAACTTTGAGGGACAGAACGCACAACTCCAGTGGCCGACAGTGATGAGAAGTCATGGCCAGGAATTTTAGCGCGGGGAATGCCCTCCAAAATGGCTGAATTAAAACGATGCGCAGCAAAGGGTTCCCAATTCAAATATCATGCTCAAATGACATGAGCTCAATTAACATTTTCTAGGCCCATCACTTGAGGCCGCCGTGCGTGGCAGTGGAAGCAGCTCTTGTGCGCGGCCTGAGGCTGGTAGAGTCAATGGGCACAATAGCCCAGGAAACTTGGGACTTTAGACCGAACAAATTCATTTGACCTATCCAAAGAATCCATTGGAATACATCTATTTTTTATCCATTTAGCCTTCTGATCAACCTTACCCGCCAAATATTTCTGCGCCAGCCAGGCCCCGCCAGTGCAGCTACACCCAGTCGCATGGGTATGAAGCCCAGGGCCGGCCAAGGTTAGGAATTGAAGCGCTAAAAGTGCTGAAGGTTTGCAGCGGGCGGTTGATGTTTCAGCTTGAACGAGGGCGCAGTGGCTTTGCGGTACTCCGCCGGCGACACGGAGCACTCAGGTCCGAGCGCTCCGCGCGGGCCGCGAGGCGAGGGGATTTGGAAGGTCCAAAGGAAAGCTGGGGCAATAAACCCCAAGTCGGTTGACACGGTGTTCAAGTCGTTTCCCCTCTGGTTTGAGGTGACATGTGACAGTACGTTCAAGCATTGCAGACTTCAGCATTGGAGCTCTGGCACAGGTGCAGGACGTGCATCAGGATCCACGCACGCAAGTGCCAGAGGCCGAGCGCGCGAAGGCAGGCAACATCGTGCCTGATCAGCCGGTTGGTACCAAGCTAAGAATGACCTTAGCAGCATTTGCATCAGAAGTCTGCAAGAAAGGCATCATTTAGAAATTCAGACGGCGGGCGTACCCTCAGACGGCGCGGGCATTGTCATACCCTGAAGCGCTTAGCTGCTGGGGATGAAAGTGTGTAGAACATCGGATCAACAGCCAGCCGCACGTGTGGGCAGGTGAAGGCCCGCTTTCAAGAGATTGGACGCTGTTCTACCCTTGACGTTGAGACACCGCAGAAGATGTGGAGGCTTCAGGGGGGGGGCAACTTTGCTCGTTGCGGTTGCCAGGCGCGGGCCGTCGCTGCGCTGCAGCAGCTTTTCTTTGAGGCGCTGAGGCACGGCGAGGCACGCGCGGCAGCTTGCTTTTGTTGGCTGGAAGTTTGAATCTTGCTCTTGTTTTGACGCTCTATCGCCACAATAAGGGCTTGATGGCCTTTTTTGTTTTTTGAGTTTTCGTTCGCTTTTGGCTTTCCGCATCCTCAGCATCACCGGCAACAGTATCAGCATCGCCAGCAGCGCCCCAACATCATTGTTTGTTGTAATCGCGCGCTTCTCTCTATTTGTGTTCTTCTGAACTTCTGGGGCTGTTGCCGTGGTTGCACCTCCAAGCTCCCAGTTGTTTATGGCTTAGTGATGTCCGGCTTTGTGACCTTAAGAGTTGAAAGGCAAACCCGAATCCCAGCCAAACCTACGACCTAAACCATCACTAAAACCAAACCAACCTCAAACCAAACCTAAACCCGCTCTAAAACCGCCAGAAAAAAAAAGGTAAACAAACCCGAAGAAGCATCAAACCCGCCCCAACCACCCTAAACAACGCACTCCAAACCAGCCACCCTAAAACAACCATAAACCCAGCACTAAACCACCCCAAAACCTACCCCAACCCTACTCTAAACCGAGCCTAAACTAAGCCAACCCTAAACCTACCCTAAACTCGCCCAAACCAACCCGCAACCCACTTTAAACCATCCCTAAACAAGCCCCAAGCAATCCTAAACCCGCCCTAAACCCCTAAGCCAGCACTAAACCCAAAACTAACTCTAAACTCCCACCCTAAACCAACCCTAAACAAACCTACCAACTCTACAAACCTTATACAAACCTTGAACCCACTATAAACCAGCACTAAACCATCCCATCTAACAAACCCAAAACCAAGGCGCAAACCGAGTGCATTTTGTTCGAACGTGCTGTATTTTAGCATTTTGACACCAGGAGTGAAAGCAAAAAAGAGCAGACACAAATGCAACAACTGAGTCAAATTTCGACCTCGTAGGAACTTGTGTCATGGCAATCGGGCGAGATTTCAGTCATCCTTGCCAGCCCAAGTTGCGTGCTCCTTAGGGGCTGAAAGTCCAATCACCATCCCTGGATGTCCTTGAACCTGATTGAAGAACTGTTTCGAGTTCATCATACCAAGCAAAGTTGTACTGATGTTGAGTCGTCATTGTTCGATTGTGTGTTCTTGTGACCGACCCAGCAGGCAATTTTTGTGTTGTTGGAATATGAATATACGTGCAGTCTGCAAAGGACGCCAACGGCGCCGCCGCGAGCGCACTGCGCCGCCTGTTGGCGGGGCGGCACAGAATCGCATGGACGCACCACTTGGATGAATGTGGAAGTTTACAGCACTTGACTCAGACTTTGCCCATGCGGCATGATGCATGGCATGATGTGCATCTCCATGTTGCTGTTGACAATTTGTTGTTGTGCGTTAGGTCAGGACAAAGCTCCAGCGACTGTACGAGCGTAGCCCTTCAAGAAAATTATTCAGAGCCTTTGGTCCGCTTTCACACAGATCCTTGCTCCACTCTCTGTGTTTGGATGTCAGGAGCCTGGCAGTGCTGCAGAAGGGCCCAAGGCGGAAGGGTTGTGCCGCATCGATGGCTTCGGGGCAGAAGCCAAGGGTACTCGCAGTTCTGTTGATTTACGAGCCAATTACTGTCTCCGGCTTTGCCACCACTTGCAAGGCTTGCCACGATCCCATATACGCAGGGTGCTTACTGGCCTGCTTTGAGCTTGAAAAGACAGCATGCATAGTAACTTTGAACGCTTTGCGTCGTATTTTGTCAATGTGGCACAGGCAGCTATAGGTATTCGGGCACATGTGGCGTTTGGAATGTCTTGGTTCCCTGGCAGATTGGACTTGTGGCGGCGTTTAAGGGGAAACCACTCGTGTTTGGACCTGAGAAATCCTCAGGGCCGTTTATCGAAAACTGGAGATCCAGTTCTTTAGCTCCGTCTCCCCAAGGCAAGGGAAGGCCGGGGCAGCGAAGGACCAATGCAAGGCCGGGCGTGCCAGGTTTCTGTCATGGAACTGTGCGTCCTCTTGATGACGTGACATTACAGTTCCCATTCAGTTAATTAAGTGGGGATTGAAGTGGACCTATGTAGCTTGCTTTCTAGTTTGTTCACCTGTAGACCGGGGTAAGCATAGGGTTCACAATGCAGATTTAGAGATGGGGTGGATCAAGGCATGCCGATGTGCTAGCACACAGAGCCGTCATATGATGTAAAGGTGACAATATTTGTGGTTCTGTCAACATATCCAGCATTCCATGGTGTGGGAGAGACACTGGGGGGACTCACTAATTTCGACACTCATTTTCCCACATACTCCTACAGCACCTGTATACTTTGAGCATAGGCTCATGTTATGGCTAGCCTCAAGAGAAGATATTGACAATTGCTCTTCTCTTGGCAAGCTGCATAAATTTGAGCTTGCTCTACACAGAACCCACCATGGGTGGGTTCCTTTTGGTTTGCCTTGACAACCTGAAACCAGCCCATTTTACAGCTCATGCCTGTCAGGCTGTCGCCACCCTGTGGCGGCTGGGGGGCCTCAGGTTGGCTTTCGGCCATGTCCACTTTTGTCGCACCAGAACTTGTAGAATTTAGTTCGAATCTGTTCAGCACTCTGCTGGTTCAAGCTGGGACCAATGTTGGATTGACTATCGTGTTGACAATCCTTGACCATCCTGGCACATCCCTTGCTCTCCGTATGAGTCTTCGATGAGTCGAATCAAGAAGCAGGGAAAAGGGCGACGCGTTGGGTCTCATGGCATCTTTGCAAAGTCTGAACCCGAGGATACGAGTCGTTGCTCCCAAACGGCTCAAGGACGGACCCAGTGCAGAGCTTTTCGGTGCACACTTAGACTTGGCTCTGAGGTCGAGACATGAAGCCTTCGGCGCGGGGATGTTCCCACGGGACCAAAGGTCCCCAGCGCTTTGCTTTTCCTGTCTCTAGCTCTCTCGCTTTGTTGAGCCTTGCCTTGCGGCATGTAACCTCTCTCGTCACTTTGAGAGTAGGGTAGAATGGTAGCCCGCGAAGCGTCAAGGACATCGAAGAGTTCATGCCGCAAGCGCACATGAAAGTGTGCGAAACTCCTCCATCGGGAGACAACACATTCGACTCGGCGGATTTGTACAGTGATCCAGAGGGTTCATTAGAGATGCTGATGGATGACTTCGAGATCTTCCACAGACTTGCCCTCAGCCCTAGCAGGCCTAGCAACCATTCATAGTCCATCGTATCTGGCGTACCAGGAATAGAGTAAGTCCCACATTTTGAGAGCTTAGTAAGAGCAGGTCCCATAATTTGAGAGCTTCACCACTTGCTTCGAAACATGGCTGGGCAAACACCTGATGGGGCAAGCGCAAACTGCCTAAGAGCTGCAAGAAATCCTCAGCAGTTGCAGGCAAAGTGTTTGAGTTCTGGAGTCTCCTCTCAAGCTACTGAAAAGCATTGGCCCGAAAGCATTGTGCTCCAGTGCTCAGAAAGAATCAAGTTTCAACATCTCCGGACCTACATTACATGTTTCCGGGGCGCTCGCTAGTGCATATATTTAGAATGCTGCAGATAGACATCCCTGGCAGGGCCCTCGTTGTAAGGGCCCACGCGCCCTTTTCCCAGCGCCTTTGTAAACGAGAGGCTTTTCTAGTCAGCAGCACCACGCGTTCCCGTAGGGTTTCACCGCCACTTCTCAGGGTCGCCGCCTTTAAGCGTTGGAAAGAAGGGAATCTGCTTGTATGAAGGTGAGGTTTGAGCCTTTGATATCCTTTCAGACGAGGTACGCGGTTGCCTTTGCTCAAGAAGACAAATATCCATTTCTTGCGGCCATTGTCGATGACAGCCTGGGAAGTGTGCCGAATCTCTTGCATGTAGTTTGTTGGCGCTCTGGTCAGGAATCAAGCATCAGGTCACAGGCAGTCATTTTCTCAGGAACCCATAATTTTGCCATGAGCACTGTAGCTGTGAAAAGTTTGGAAGAACTTGACTGCAGTGTCCGAGGCTGGCCAAGGCTCAATAAGAGCCCTGTCAGCCAATGCACAGGCGTGGTGTGGCATCCAGATTGCAAAGACAAACCAAACGCTTCCCAAGACGACTGTAGGTTTTTGGCGTCTTGCAGAAAAGCCTGGTGCCACAGCCCATTTGCCATGGCAGGAAAGTGTGTGGTGTGGCTCTAGGCTGCAAGAATGCGTCAATGCATGACGAAAAGCTGGCAGCTGCGATATTCAGACTGCATGTAACTTTTATATTTGTAGTGATGAAGCTGTTTCTTCACACCTTTGGATGTTCAATGCAACTTCTGACCTGAGCACAGAAAGCACGGCTCGTGGACCCTGATACAGTGTTCAAGCATGCGTTTAAAGTATCATGTGGGTGATGCACAAGACAACAACAAACAACTTGCGCTCCTCAATTGCGGCGTCTTGCCATCTTGTCAATTCACTTTCCTGAGCAAGAGGAGGAGGAGTGTTGCTACAGCAAAACCACATTTGCTGATGGGATTTGCCCCGGCAGCTACTCTTGCCAAACAACTTGGTTTGTCACAATTGTCCAGCTTTCATCCCTCCCCATCTCCCTTTCATCGTGCCATGCTTTGGTTTAAGAAGGCCAGCATCCTTACGAGAGCTGCTGGCGGGCCAGCCCAAGTTGGTCAAAGTAGAAGATCTTCCAAAGCGTCGAACACTGCTTCATGTTCACCCTTGTCGGATCTATTTGTTGAATCCAAGCTTGCATCCATATCTCGCAATTGCATTCCAATGATTTCCCGATGACGGTCTGAAGTACAAGCGCTTCCTCCACTCCGACTTGGCCCTGAAGTCAGTTTGTTTCTTTGTCCACTTGAGTCTGCAATCAAAAACGGCTTGCGCGTGTATTGCATGTGGCTTCAGAACCTCTAAAAAAGCGGTACACTACACGCTGTCTAGGTCAAGCTTTGCCGCGCACGCGAAAAGTTCCCGGACTTTGCTTGGCAAAGCAGGCCCTCCCAGCGACCGAAGTCGACCTAAAGCAACTACATGTTTGCCAGTTGGTTCAATTGCCTCAATTCAAAGGTTGGCCGTTTTAGTTGACGGGTGCACAGACTTTCGGTGAGGGCGACAACAGGCAGCACCATGCCTCTGCTAAAGGGAAGTGTGCGACAGCATTGCAGCGCATTTGCATTGGTCGATGCACTGGGCGCGATTGGACTGGAAGAGGCTCGGGTACGCGAGCTTCCGCGGCCACACGTGAAGTTTCATCAGGAAATGATATGAAGATGCTTCTTTCGCCTGGATTCGCTCTCATTTCTTAGTCATGTGACACATGTGGTTTATTACTCTTCATCCTTCTTCCACACTCACGATCCAAGAAATTCCAAAGTGTGGAGGAGGCATAAACCAAAGAGACTGATCTGTCATTTCCTTCCAACTCCTACCATAATCCCATTCCTCACACATCTCACAGATGGAACGGTGAAAAGAAAGGCCCCCGCTGGCCATTGACAACATCCGGGTGCGCGCCGGCTTGGCCAGCTTGGATCTGCTTGACGTCCATGCGTCGCTTCGCCGTAAAGTCTGCACCTTCCAGACTCCCCCGGCCTTTGCCAAGCGCCAAGCAATTCTCCAAGTAGGCGATAATTCAACGCGCCCCCAAGCAGCGACACGGCTTGTGCTTGGCAACTGTGGGTCGCGGCTCCACATGCGGCTATCACCGCAAGCCCTGGCGAGCACAAACTGCCTAAGGCACGCTTGTGCCTACGCTGAGGGGGCCTTGGATCCAGCTCTCCGATCTGTGTCACCCCTTCCCACTGAGAGCAGCGAAGCCGCCTTCTCCCCCGCCACTTCTGAGCATGACCGCCCACACCAACTGTGCGCGCCGCCCGCCTGCCTCCCCGAGCCGTACGGGGCACTTGACTCCGAAACCATGGGATTTGCACTCCACCGAGCTCGTGTCCTTGTCCCTGACGAGTTTCTTGATCAACCTCCGCCAGCGCCGAGCGCAGGCACAGCAGCAAGGCGCCTACGCCTCTCACTGCCGCTTGAAGCGCGGGTTTGACGCTCGCTCGAGGTCGCGTCCGCGCTGCAACTACTTGATTTGCCTGTGCGCTCCGGCAGTGAGAGTGCTTGATCGGCGGCTGTTCGCCATTCCGTGCCGCCCTCTTACCCTGAGAGCCTCAACCCACAGCCAGCTTGTTTTGCGGCGCTCCGCTCCGACGACTCCTGCGGCCACCGCATGTCACGCCGCGGATGCTGGGTACGGACAGAAGCAAGCAAACGTTGCGACGGCCTGCGCTGAATCAACAAGTCTCGTCTTGCAGAGCCGTTGGATGCCCCCCATGCTTGAGCCAAACGTGCGTGGATGGCAGGCGCCAGCTGTGGCGAGCGCCTCCAGGTTGATTTTGTCTCCCGGCTCTGTCCACCGGCAACGAAGCTGACGCTGCACGGTAGGCAGCGCTGCCGGCATCAGCCTGGTGACCCGACATTGGCGTTGCCATGCTGTGACACACGAACCGAGAACGATTTGCATAAAACTGCCGAATCAACTGAGATGATGGTAGCATCGGGGTGCAAGTCCGCATGGCCAAGGCATGCGTGACGGTCTCCGGCGCGGGTAGACAACGCAGACTGGCAGGGCTGGCACGTTGGGCCCGGTGAAGCAAGACTCGCCGAGCAACTCCCAGGGCGCGCGCGAGCGCGCACGCGCAGCCCCAACGTCCTTCCGGGACCGGGAGCAGCACCATGCGGCGGATGAAGGACAGAATTTCAAACGCAATTATTTAGCGAGCGGTGTTTCAACACACGAGGAAGGTAGGCCGCTTGCCCATCCAGACGGCCCAGGAATCCCGAACACCGAGCGCCGGGCAACGCCTAATGCCTGTGCAGGCAATGGGCCTGCCTGAAACAGTCACGAAGCATCGCGGCCCTTGAGGGGAGTTCGCTCCGCGCGCGTGCCACGCGCGAGGCCAACAAAAAGGACAACTTCCAGCTACGCCCCTGTCAACTTCACCTGCGCGAAACAAAGAAACTAGCAACATGCGACTGCAATCTGCTCACGACGCCTCATTGCAAGATACGCTCAAGCCAGCGGCGCCGCAACGTTTCCAGCGCGTTTGTCCTCGCAGGCGCAGTTTAATCCGCATCAAAGCAAACGCTTGCGCCATCTGTTAGACGCACCTGCCCAGCAGCCTGCTACGCCCGGCTTACGCCGACCGCTGCCTCCCTCGCCAGCGTAGCCATGGACGCGCACAGGTTCCAGCGGCGCAGCAGCTGGTGGCTCAACCACCACGCGCACCATCGTGTCCCGCGCCGCAACCGAGGCAGCTAAAACGCGTTTCCGCTGCTTGCGTCGCGCTGAATCACGCTTGGTCGGCCCACAAATCGAGGAGGCCCGTTATCAGGGGCAGGCCGGATCGTCGCAGCTGCAATCGATCTAAAGGTGGCGCTCGCCAGTTCGAGGCCTCCTACTGGGTCCGCGAACAGGCGTTTTGGATATTCCTCTTTGTCGGCTCGTGCACAAGGCAGTGATCCACAGCCACGCCACCGCCGCTTTTGCCTCTGCCAACAATGGCGGCCGCAAGCTGTACATGTTTCCAAGCCTTCAAGTGGCGCGCCCGACGCATTCCAAACGCTCGAGAAAAACAAAAAAAGGGGGGGAAAAGAAAAAAAAACGCTCGCCCACGCGCAGTCAACCGCCCTCGAAAGCAGAAATGCGAAGGTGACAGACAGCTCCTGGTCCAGCCCGTGGCCATCATGCGGGCATCCCTTACATGTCGGATGTCTCGCGCATATGCAAGCTAATCAGCAACGCGTCTCTTGCCCCATTTGTCGGTCCGGGTGGTCGGATGTGGCCCAGCAGCAGTTCGCAAGGCTGTGTTGCCAGGAGTCGGTGCTCGTGCCTGAAGCCGCCATCCCTTATGACACTTGCTCCGTGCCCATCCCGTCAGCTCCGCCACGTGGAGTTGTTGCCCTGTGTTGTATCTCGCCCCGATTTGGATGCTGCATGGATAGTTTTGCAATCACGCTTGATGACTTG